AGTGGCTGTAAAACACAGGGGGGAGGAGGGGTAATATCTGACATTTCCTTGACTACCTCAGAGCAGAGGTGGAAAGGGCAGATGCAGAGCCTCTCTGGCAGGTTCTGAGAGCACAAACACCCACTTCCTGTCCACAGGGGGCACAATTACATCCCATACCCCCCACAGCTCACAGAGGGTCACTATGTCCTGCAACTTACTATGGAAAGGGGCCTTTGCCACATAGCTTTCTCACCTTCTGTTCAGGTTAATAAAAGTTTTTCCTTCAAGAAAATTCCAGGCTTACAATGATAGCAGAGGAAAAGCAGTATTCCCAGTCACGCTAAAGTGTTCTCTGGAATAGATCTATTTTCCCTATTCCATTTCCTAAGGATTTTTCCTTCAGTACTTGAAGTCCCAGCTGTGCTCACTCCATTTATCAAGATGTTATCATCTGCAGCTATAAATGCCAACTCTAGAACATTTCAACAGGCAATCCCAGTGGGTTGCTGCAAGCGGGCTTCATGCTGCCTGCCTCCCCAAGACACAACTTTAATGAGTGCACTTCTTTGCTTCAGATTCTTCGATGGTTTCCAAGGTCTTCAGAGTAAAACCCCAAAGAGCTCCCAACCTCAGCTTGTCTACTGAACATCATGGGGTGCTTGCTCTCCTCTCCTCCATTTCAAGAAAAGGTTTTCTCTCAGGGCCACAGACCTAACACTCTCTGGCTTCAGGGCCTCCTAGGAGCTGCCTTACTCTTATCTTTTCCCTTCCTTTAGGTCTCAGCTCAAGCATTCCTCCCCCCACCAGGTAGGCCTTGGCCCCACGCTGAGAGTTAAGCAGAGCTGTCACCCACTCCCTCTCAGCCTGCTCCCCCAGTTGCCACCATTGATACCACTTACTCAACAACTGTGTTTAGTGTCTACAGCCTACCATGGAGGAGAAGCTTCTGAGCTCAAACTCATCTCTGTGCCTGTAAGACGCCTCAGAGTTGGACTACACAGTACGAGGGAACTGGCTGATATTGTCACTTCCTGGCTCTTACTGATATAGTGAGTCCGAAAAGCAGACTAAATAACAAATTCATGCACTTCTCTTTTCAAATTAAGCAGCTTCTATGATTAACAAAATTATTAACTCATGAAAAGCTTGACTGGGCTCATGATTGCATTTTACTATTTATTCTCTTAAACACTGAAAACCAGAAACTCATCCACTGCAGATACCACATGGGGAGCCCCCAATACAAGCCATGATGGTAGAGGCATTCCTCCTACTCATGTGCCATGTGTAAACACATCCCTTGATTTTGCCTCTTGTTAATATGAGAAAGTGTTCCCAGCTTATGCCAGTAGAGAAAGTCCCTTAGTGTCACGGGAGGTAAATGGGTCATATTCATGGAATTGGAAAGCCTCACTCCTGAACCCTTTTCTGCCATTCTAAGAATCAATAAAGTTCCAAATTCTCTTAATGACAGACTTCATAGCAGACTTAATAACAGGTAATATAGCAGTCCTTTCAAAGGCATTCTGAGTGGATTCTCACTAATCGTAGTTTGTTTAAATTTACCAAGAAAAAAAAACTGTTAACATTTCAGCTGTGAGCCACAAGCTGCTTCTTGACAAGAGAGAAATCCAGAAATTGGAGCATCATAATTCACAGCAGACAAATATAATAAAATACCCAGAGATATTCTCCAACCATAAAGGCAACAATTTTCAGATGTGCCTTTTCTAATTCATTCCACATACATGTACTAAGCTCCTGCTAGCTTACTAAAGGTAAGTACTAAGTATACAGAGACAAAGTTATTTCTCTCAGTGAGAGTATCCAGCAGTGGTCACCAAACAGCACTTGAGTATGTTACTGGACATCACAGGTGCTTCAGGAAGGGACAGGGCAGAATGCCTCATGGCAAATCTCACAAGAATCAGGGAACATCTGCTAACCTAGATCACCTTAACTGTCAGAAATGCAGTGTGCTTTCCCAAGCACACACAGACCCCACACGCAGAAACTTGGGGGCAATCAGGGGATGGGCAAATCAGATAAAGTATTTACAAAACACACACACAAAAAAATCACCTATCAATCATCTGTAACATGTGTTTAATATTAAGTACCAAAAATATGGGGATTCAGGAGTAATTCAGTGGTAAAGTACAAATTCCCTGGCAAACCCCACAAAGCAAAAGAAAAAAATTGAATTAAAAAATTTTAAAACTACCATCACTGTCATGTTATACTACACTTCTTCAGACACCAAAGGCCTATGGAGCTGACTTAAGTGTATTAGACTTTGTAAGTTTATACAAATATTGACAGTAAGATAAAATAAGAAGTAGATCAAACAGTGACATTACTAGATACAATCAAAACACCTTTAACAAGGTTGTCAAAATCAGCATTGTATTAAATACACTTGAAACTTGGGTTTTGCTGCTTATGAAATCAATGCCCTAAGTTGCTGGATATAATGAATCTCCCAACAATTTTAAACAGAAATAAACTTCTTTTCACTTTATGGACTGTACTTAAGCCTTTTAGTGGTTTCTACTCAGTGCCTTCATACAGTACTTTGCCATAATGCAACCTGAGACAAATATAAACCATTTCCCATGCCATGCAAAATAAAAAGAAATAAACTGGACAGATACAACCTGAAATTCCTGAAAGCAGATAGTATATAAATTAATGTACTAATAATAGGGTAGCCCAAGGTGGAACCTCAATTTCACACAATTTTATCAGAAATAAACTTGAAAATTAATCATTGCTAACATCAATACTATACAATAGCTACTATATTAGGATTAAGTTAGAGAGCATGTATAAAATATCTTAATGATTCAATTCTTATTATACCCACTTAAGAGGGGAGAAAACTGAGGCGTAGAGCAGATGAATGGTTCATGAGTACAAACCTAGTCAGAAATCAAAGACTTCTTTCTAATCAAGGGTGTGTCCATGAGTGAGCAAGGAAAATGTGTGTTCCTTCTAAGAAAGACAAGAGAGCTTTCATTAACTTCTCAAGTATTTCCACGATGCCATTGGACCATGCTATCACCAGGGTTAAAACCAGAAAACACAATTGGTCTTCCACTCTCCTCACCAAGATTAACTTCTCTACCACGAGGAAGCTTTTTAAAAAGTCATGGCCTTATTTTTGCATCCAAATTCTCAGGGCAAGTCAAGATTTCACTCCTGGATCATTTCCAGCATCCTCTGCCACAGGTTAAGTTGCACAATACACTGCAATACTGTATCTGTTTACATCTAGTTCTGAGATTTCAACCCATGTTACTTAGACATTCCACTTTCTAACATAAAATGTGTTTCAATCAGCCAATCCTCACTGCATCAGCCTGGGAAATAAGCTACCATTATATCCACTTCTGAGAAAGTGAAGCACTGTCACCCTGAGGTGAGGCAATAAATCAGCTACAAAATCAGGATCAAAAGTGAGGACTTAGCAACTATCCTCCCCCACATCTGCAGGACCCAGTCACCACTCAGTGCACCCTCGGGAGCTGAACAGAAAACAACTGAACTGCTTTCTCTACCAGTGACAGCGACAATTATTGTTAGAACCTAATGATAAATCTTGAAAGAACTGGGAATACTCCCAGGTTCTTAGTAATCCTGCTCTCTCATCTTTGAAAGTTGAGATGTATGTCACAAGGCGAACACCCTGTGTGTAACTTTGAAGGGAGAGGAAGCTGTTGAGGATGCTGCTACCACGGGGGGTTGGATCATCTCTTTGCCAGGGCAAGGTTTTGTGCTGGGCATGGCGCTCAAACTCCTGCTACTAGGAATGATCTGTGGATCCAAAATTCCTGATCTGAAAGTCATTTTAATGTGGAAATAAATGTTACTTTGAAATTCTTCACGTTAGTTTACAGAACTGAACCACAGAGAATGAAGCATACACTCCAAGCCTCACAACTCACGACAGACAATTCCACAAAGCAGGTCTCCAGAAACCTGTCTAGGTTCCATGCAGGTCTTTAGGGACATTCAGGACTGGGCCGTGGTTAAAGCCAGAGGCTTGGCCAACCCTATCTAAGGTTCCTCGGCTCCCTGCCAGGCTAGAATTTGCCTCTATTGGGCTTGTATCACGCTGCCAGACGTAGGGGGCACTGGCCTTTGCTTGTTTCTTGTAGGGACAAAGGCAATTACTTACCAAAGCCAGCCCCATCCGAGAGGAGGAAAACACTACTCTGGCACTGAGGGATTAATTTCACAAGGAGGCTGTGTTAGGGTCATGTTTTATTTATGGCCCTGCCTCATCAAGATGACTTCCCAACATCCAAAGCAAACAATCTTAAAAACACGGAGGAAACAATCCTGTTTCCTTCACTGTCCTCCGAAGCAAAAAGAAAAAGCAGCAGCAGCCAGGGGAGACATGAAAGTTCAGCGAGTCAAGAAGCGACCGAAAGTAGGGCTGGCAAAGTAATCGGAACAAGGCGGGGGACCCTCCCTACTCGTCACCGCTGAGAGCGGTCAGGAGGGGCGGATGGACGCTACACACGCCCCCGGGCGCGCGGAAGTCGTCTTTTGGAGGTTGGGGCCACGCAACCACCCGCCAAAACGACGGGCTTGGTAACCCCAAGAAGGCGGCAGCCTGGGAGACCTCCATCCTGCAACTCCCAGGCCTCCACACCCACCTGCGTCCCCCAGCCCGCGCCCCCAGCGCTCCCGCTCCACCCGTGGCTAAGGGCAGGTTAGCCACGCCCACTTCAGAAGCCCGGGCTGGACCAGTCCAGTGTCCAGATCTCACCGGGTTCGCCGACCGACCCAAGCGGACCGACACTGGGGAGTTCGCGGCTCTGACACGGTAAAAGCACGTCTTCACGGCCGCACGGGTGCACACGCCTGACGGGGGAAGTCCATGCCCCGCCACCCTCCACTCCGGGCAGCACGCCGGAGGTCCCCGCCCGTCTCCAAGCCCACCGCGCGCGCACAGGATGGGGAACCCGGGTGACCCCCGAGGGGGCGCGAAGGAAGAAGGCGGGGCCCACCTCCTCGTCCTGCTCCTCCTGGGACGCGCTGCCACCGCCCCGGGGCGCGACGGGCGCTGCTCCTGCGGGGGGCGGCAGCGGCAGGGTAGGGACTCCGCGCTCCGGCACCGCGCGCGCAGGAGCCCAGGCGGCGGGCAGCCGGGCCCCGAGGGCGCCGCCCGGCGGCGGCGGTGGCTGTGGTCGGCCGGAGAATCCGCCGGGCTCCCCTTCCTCAGACAGAGTTTCTGAACCCGAGGAGGACTCCGCCGAGGAAGCGCCCAGCGAGGACGCGGCGGCGGCCGCCGCCGGGGCGAGGGTCCGCACGCCATGCCCACTGCCGCCGCGGGGCACCGGCTCCGGCGCCGCGGAAACTTTCTCCCCCATTTTCCTCTCCAGCCCAAAGTGCTGCCCGAGGGGCGGCGGGGCGCGATGCACACTCCGTGCCTCCGCGGGAAAGCCGCGGGCTACTCGGCTCCGGCTCGACCGTACCGCCGCTCCCGGGCTGCGGGGAGCCCCTCCGGCGACTACATGTCCGCAGCAGGGGTGCTGCAGCCCTCCGCCAAGTTAGCTGCCGCCCGGGCCGGGCGGCTGGTGAGGACTCCCGCGCGCGGGGACATGCCCACTCCGGTCCGGGCTCCGCGCTCCACGATGCTCCCGCGCTGCGCCCGAGCCGCCGGGACTGCAGCTTCTCTGGCAAAACCTGCCTCCGGGACGGCGCGGAGGAGACGGGCAGCCCAGGGAGCCAATGGCAGGGCAGGCGGCGCGGGTGGGCGGAGGCTGCGACGCCCCTGGCCGCGCGGGCGTCAGGTAGGGGAGGCGGGGCGGGGGCGCGGACCCTGGGCCCCCGCGGGAGCGCTCAGTGGCGCGGGGATCCAGACCAAGCGACGATCCAGGAGGCCAGGCTGGGAGCTCGGCGGATCATCCGAGTCCAGGGTGGGACTCTGAACTTAGGCGGGGAGTGGCTGGCCGGCTTTGGGTCTCTGGAAGGAGACGATTGCAGGGGCGGTGAGACCTTGGAGGAAAACTGGACTTGGTCCGGAAAAAGTGGAATCGAGGTTTCTGACCCAAAGAAGCTGGAGCGTTTTCGAGAGAAAAGGGGGAAACCCGCTCGCTCCGCACCCACACGCACCCATCGGTGCTGAGGGGAAGGGTGAAAGTTAGTGGATTCACACGGAGCCAATCGCCAGTCCCCTCTTTTCTGTTTTAATTCATTAGTTGCCTCTAGGGTAAGCGAAGGCATTGATTTGTCATGCCAGGGGCAGGACCAGAGCAAACATAGGTAACGTGTGAGTGGGTAGAGAGCTTGGCTTGGAGTACGTGGAGAGTTTTCCCAAGGACTGTTTTGTGTCTCTTTCTGTTTTAAACTAAAAAGCTAAATCAATCGTTTGCACCTTTTGAAAGGGAGTGAGAAAAAGACATTATTTAATTAGGAACAAGCTAAATTAGAACAGCTCTAATCCTTGTGTGCCAGCACCCGAGCTAATGGGAGTTCACTTTTCACAGTTTCTGTCTCCCAACCCTGGATTGCAAACCAACAAGGTCCTGGATTTGGTGTTTCCTTTTCCTCACCTGGAAGAACTAGGAAAAGAAACCTTTTTGTCAAAGGCACAGTAGGGTCACCTTAAGACTCTCCCCGGGGCTGCAGAATGCAACCTTTGGGGCCACTTGAATATGGTTGAAAGCTAGAACTCCGCGGGAAATAAATGATTCTCTGCGCTTGCCTTCAGCTCTTTCCCATTCTGAGCTCCAGCACTGTGACCTGAGGTATAAGTTCACCCAGTTTCCATTCCACAGACATTGACTGAGATGTGTGTCAGGAGCTTGCAGGGCATACAAAGACGAATAAGGGAGATTTCCTGCCCTTCAGGAGCTTCTGGTCAAGCAGAAGATTGATACTCCATAATATAGCAGCATTATTCATTTTTTAAAACTGTGATAAGTGTTACTGGAGACAATGCACCATAGGAAAAGGCAGGAGAATTACGGGAAAACTATGGCAGGTTTTCAAGCTGAAGAATCTTAAGATTTCTCTTTGTCAAAATAGCTTTGCCAAAGGTCCTTAAGAACTGAATGGTTCACATTGAAAGCCCTTCAGTTAATGAGCCCTTTATGTTACTGCAGTATTTACAAGTGATACATCAATAAACCCTTCATCATATTGGGCAATAAGCTTTGTCCTCATCAGTTTCCTCCCAGCAGATGAAGGGGCAGGTGATATGATGTGACCTCTTGCCATAACCAGTTGTACTGCAAAGCAAGGGCTCTGGCTGTCAGGCTTTGCATTGTGACACTTCAGAAGGATCCCTGGGAACGGGAAGACCTGCAGAGGCAGGACAATTGGAAGTGCCTAAGCTGTTGCTCTGGGGGTTCAGCTGAAGAGAAAGCACAGTGGAGCCGTCTGGATCCACCCCTGGGTCTCACAATGACTTTCACATCAGTAGTATAGGTCTTTATCTGAGTCCCTATGTGGTTGATTCTGCACAGAGAACTGAAATGGTGATTTAAGCAAGCTATTCACATAAAAGAAGAGAAGGGATTACCTTTTAATACACCAGGAAGGATGCTGGAAGGACATGGCCTGAATTACTAGCAGTAAGAATGATAATAGTTATTACTGAGTAAGCCCAAAGCATCTTCTGTAGATGGTCTCACTTATTCCTAGCAACAAAGCTATGGGCTACATAGTCAGTTCCAGTTTATAGATGGAGAAACTGAGAAGCCAAAAAGTCAAGTAACTTGTCAAAGGTCACAGAGCAAGTGGGTGGTTGAGCAGTGGCTTGAACCTAGTAAGCAAGATCCAAGGGGCTCTTTGGAAAGCATTCCAGTATAACAACACTCAGAAAATTTCAAAATCAAGTATGCACATATGTACATATTAGATTACAAATATTCATAAACAAAGAATGATGTCTTGATTCAATTTGTAAAAAATATATTTGGAACATAGTATTTTTCTCACAAACATCTATATGACCTTATATTTTATGTCAGGCAAGATTTTAAGTACATTATGAATGCTAATCTACTTAATACTCATATGACCTTGACAAGGTAACTACTCTTATTATTCTTATGCCATGTTTATGAAACACACAAAAACTATGGCATAAAGAAGTAATTTTGTTGCCAGGGGCTGGTGGCTCATGCCTGTAGTCCTAGCTACTCAGGAGGCTGAGATCTGAGTATTGTGATTCAAAGCCATTCCAGACAGGAAAGTTCATGAGACTCATCTCCAGTTAACCACCAGAAAACTGGAAGTGGTGCTATGGCTCAAGTGGTAGAGTGCTAGCCTTGAGCTGAAGAGTTGAGGGACAGTGCTCAGACCTAGCCCTATGACCCACCAAAAGCAGAAGCAGAAGAAGAGGAGGAGGAGGAGGAGGAGGAGGAGAAGCAGGAGCAGGAGGAGAAGGAGGAGGAGGAGGAGAAAGAGGAGGGGGAGGAGAAAGAGGAGAAGGAGGAGGAGGAAGAGGAGGAGGAGGAGGAGAAGGAGGAGAAGGAGGAGGAGGAGAAGAAGAAGGAGGAGGAGAAGGAGAAGAAGAAGGAGGAGGAGAAGGAGAAGAAGAAGGAGGAGGAGGAGAAGGAAGAGGAGGAGGAGGAGGAGGAGAAGAAGAAGAAGAAGAAGAAGAAATTTGTCACACAGCTAGCAGCTGTTACAACAAGAATTTAAACTTGAACAGCATTCACACTCTAACTTTACATGTCAAAGTCAAGTAGTATACAGGAATTCTTGACTTTTTGAAATATTAACCCAAAATAAGGATAATATTTATATTTCAATGCACATTCATACATGCATGCAAATACAAGTAACATTTCATGAAAGAATACTTACCTTTCTTGTAAACAATGTGTTCTGAGATTTTTATATTGAGAATAAACTACAGATTTCACCCTGCTGTTCAAGCTGTTCATTGCCTTATCAAACTGTACTTGATGAAGTCCACATCTGCCCATGAGGAAAAACTGCCTGGAACAGAACTGATCACCTTCACAGGATGACTGTAAATAGCAGATAATCAAAAAGTTAGGGTGGTTCCCTAAAATTGTCCCAATTAGACCAATGGACACATCCCAGAGAATAGCCAAGCCACCAGTCTAAGATCAATATGGATTTATCTAAATCCTGCAGCTCAACTTTTCTGTATTATTAATTAAGTTACACATGCCTTCCTCAATGTCCAGACAAGTGTCCCATTCAAGACACCTTCTCTAAGTGTCCCCAGTGTTGGAGACTTTGGAACCAACCGAAGGTCAGTGTGAAAGCATGAGTTTCTCCCCCCAACCTCACCCCCACTGCACCCCACCGCATGTTGTCAATGTAGTCAGAAGCCAGAAAAAGAAAGATATAGTCATAGCTCCTACTACTAACCAGGAGGGGTCAGGTCAGCCTAATTCCGCGTTCTTGCATTTGGTTCAGGTACAAGCATCCTATGCACTCTGTAAGTGTTCATTATATTTTGCGCTTAAACACTTCCTCTGTGCTGCTCTCCTAAAAGATGGGATCCAAATGGTCTCTTCCAGTCTGCTATGTGAATGTCAGCTCTGACCATCAGAGGGAGGGTATTCCAGCACAAGCCATCATCCTCTTCATCTATTCCTAATGTCATGACCTTTCTCCCAAGCATTAGGTTTAAGACATAATAAAACTGGAATCGATTCTCTTTTCTTATATGAAACGAGAACATCATAAACTCAGAATGAACCATTTTGCCGAATCACAAGTTAATATGTTCCTAACTACTTGATGCATTGAAAAAAAGTTAATATTTTTGGATTCTAAAAATGATATCATTCTCCCTTGGTGAGTTTTTATTTTTTTTATTTAACGATGGATTTGCCTACTCCTTTGTGATGAGGAAATACAATTTTGAAACAGAGTAAACGTTTACCAAAGGTGGCTGTTGAGGTGGTCTAGATTGGATTTTCTGATTTATACCTGAGACTGTAATATGACACCAACCAAAGCAGTTTCTGACCAGCTAGCTAGGAGAAAAGTCTTCATATGCTCTCAAGTTTTTATTGGTGTCTGAGATTCATGGAAGCTTGTAGTGTAGAGTTCCAAAAGATAAGTAGAACTTTTAAATGATAGTAGAAAAGACAGCATTGGAAGGATAATGTGTGTGTGTGGGGGGGGGGGGGGGAGAAGAAGAATAATGCAAATTACAGCTGTTGGATTATTTGACCTCAAAGTTGAGAAGATTGGGAAATGGCTTAGTTAATAAATTAAACATTTGAGGGAGCAAAAGGGACATTACTGACTGAAATCTCTTGGATCAATGTTTCTCAATGCAGGTCACCAGGAGAGAGAAGCATGCAGGCTTACAGCCCCACCCAAAGGTCTGAAAACAAAAAAATTTTAAGGACCATGCAAACGGAACATCAAG